AAAGTGCTACACACTGTAAAGTGAATTGACTGTATATTTGTGGGCGAACGCGGCAGCCAATTGCGCACAGCAATGTCCCACAAACAGTCGTAGATTGAAAATGACCAATTTATTATTGTTTTTGGTTTTTTGGAGGGATTATTATTAGGCTCTGTGTGGAGTAAGGAAACTTGCCCAAGGTTTCGCCCCCTGCCTGGAATTGAACTCAGGTCTCTCACTTGCAAAGCGAGTGCTCTAACCACTGAGCTACAGGACTCCACACGCACAGGTGCGCGCACACACACACACACACACAGAGACACACACAAGAACACACACACACACAGCTGAATGAGAAGTATGTTTGTGTATGATATACACAGTCCTGTTCACAGTATGTTAACGTATATGTGCGTGACAGTCCAGTTCACAGTGATCTGCGGAACATGGTCCAAGAGACATGATGAGTGGGCTGCTCATAGCTCAGTGAACATATTCACAACAGCTTACGTGGCGCTCTGCATTCTGCTAGTTTGCACATTGGCTGCAAACCAGGGTTCTCCACATTGTAATTACCATAAAACCATCAACCGATTTCCATTACTGTCTCTTTGGTGATCAGCTTTTGTGGTTTTATTAGATTTATTAATAGGTAAAATAAATTGGGGAGCACTGCTTTTTTAAAAAAATACACTTTTTACGGTGAATCTTATTTAAAGTCAAGGAGTTTGACTCTGAAAAACAATGTTGAGTTTGTTTCACGAGTGTCCTACTTAAAATATGTACAAACTATACATGTGTGTTATGTAAACTTATGGAATTAATTAAAATTTAATGGGCAAATTAAAGTATGCTGTTTGAACTTGAATCAAACTCTTCCTTTCTCTCCCTCCTTCCCTCCCTCCCTCCCATAAAGAAGTGTAATGAGATCAAGATTCTTTCCTCACACAAACTCTCGCCTTAAAAATGTAGCAAATAGGAGACTGTGCATATTTCTCGCTCTTTATGCTGAATATTTTTGCAGAGGAATATAAAACATCAACACATGTAAAGCAGGGATAAAGGCAAAGGATTCATTTCAAAAAGCTACCAAGGGAAATTATGTTAGTGAATTTCTAGCATCAAGGCAGCATGTACTTTGCTTATGCAAATGTGTAGACCTTTCCCAGGTTTGGCTGTTTACCATGTAAAGCTCCATCTCCTCTATGTACAGTAAACTCCTGATAACTTGTCATTCCAAGGGAAACGAGCTCAGTGACGAGTTAAACGGAGTGGAAAGGTTAGGCATATCTATATAAATACATAAATAAATGTGGCCGGGATATTGACAGCGCGATGACTTAATTGTTAGTGACAAGTTAAGCCAGGGTTGAGTTATCAGGAGTTTACTGTACCCCAAGGGCTTGTCAACGGATGATGTAAACAACTTAAGTGTCTCAATCTACTGGGGAGAAATTCCAACTGGGTGGGGATTTATTCCATTTATTTGGGATTTCAGATTATCCAGAATTTGGATAATTGTGAATTTGTTCTTAACTTTGAAGTCAGTTTTCTGTAGGTCTTAAAAGAAACTTGAAAAAAAAAGCTGGAAAATTAAGGCTGTGTTTAATAATTTGCCAAATGCTACACAAACAGAATGAATCTAGATAGACCCAAATGGATTTTTTCCCCATATACTTATCACCCTTTCACTAATGCCTTTCTTAGGATCTTGTGCACTCACTGCTGAACAGTGAAGCAAGCAATGGAAAAAAAGTACAATATCAAACAAATTAATTCAATAATCAGACAACAGACTGTGTATTACAATGAGTAACCACTGTCTAGCACTGAGTTTACTGTGATGATTCAATCAGTCATATTAAATTAATATCTCATAACTTGCTGCCACCTGCCTATTATACCCTATTTGTTCTTTGCTCTGCGTGTTCCTCAGACAGACAGGAAATGTACCAGCAATGACGCTTGTTCAGTCTGGCAAAAACAAAGGAACATATTCTTGAATTAATCAAGCATACACATTGCTATCAGCTTCTACAGTCAAATGGATGCAAATTAAAAACTGTACGCACTAAATACAATAAGTATACATTGTGAGGTTGAGAACCCCTTCAGAAAAGGGAGTTACTAAAGTGATTCAGTGGCACAGCTCTGTAGAAACCTCTGAAAGCATTGCTGCAACGCTTAATGCGTCTTTACCCTATGGAGCTCAGATGCTCTCTTCACAGGAAAACAATGTGTGGATTCTTGTCCATTTGTGGTACTCTTACCAACCTATCCTCCCTCTGTGAATGTACATCATCTTCACGGTCTTGTGCTGTAAGCGCTCTGAGATGCTACCCTGTGTGGAGGACGCTATATAAGTGCACGTTGTTGTTGTTGTAGTAATCCGTCAAAAATGGTAACCTGAGTGGTGGTTTCACCCATTGCCAAAATAACTTATCCTTCTCACGAATAATATTGCCTGTAGTACAGGTACATACCCTACGCATTTGACAATAGGCATACATCAGTTAGCATGGAGACGCATACGAGTCATGCCTGACTAACTTCACTAATTGTAATGGCCATTCTAGCTGGTTAGATGCTTGCATAGAGATATAGATTGAAGGACAAGGTGCAGCCAAGCACTTTAAAGGAGCCTGGAGTTGGTGTCACCACTATTTCACCCACAAAATATACAGTCACTACACTTTAGTGTATCCTATGAAGCGCTTTGAGATGTCTCGAAGATGTAATAAGATGCTATATTAAATGCAAGGATTATTATTATTAAGTTGTAGGATCGCCCTTTTTTTTAAACCATTAATTAGTATTCTTTTGCCAATCAGGCCACTGGTTTTTAATAATCTGAGCAAAAGTATCAAAATCAAGTATCAGTGGCCCAATCCCATGTAGTGAGGACAAAGCAGTTTCATCTGACAACTTAGTGATGTGCCTCTCATTTTCACTCTAGTGTTCAACACCCGTTGTTGTGACAGGCAACAAAGAAAGACAAAGACACAGCACCAGTCCTAAGAATTTGTAACCATGGTAGCTCTTTAATAATAATAATAATCGTTGCATTTGATATAGCGCTTTTCACCTCTTCTAGACATCCCAAAGCGCTTCACAGACTATACTGTAAAGTGAATTGACTGTATATTTGTGGGCGAACGCGGCAGCCAATTGCACACAGCAATGTCCCACAAACATAGATTGAAAATAACCAATTTATTATTGTTTTGTTTTTTTGGAGAGATTATTATTAGGCGTGTGAAGTAAGGAAACTTGCCCAAGGTTTCGCCCTGCCTGGAATTGAACCAGGTGTTTCGCTTGCAAGGCGAGTGCTCTAACCACTGAGCTACAGGACTCCACACTTTGTGGCTTTAAGGACCAAGTTCCACTAAAAATTTCAGTAAAATTGTCAAACCATGAAAATCACTGAAATTAGGAGTCAGGGATTCCCTAAAAAAGTGATCATGTTATCATATTGATAACCTTGCCTTGACACTCGTTTGCATTATCAACAAATCAATATCAGATATTTGCCATGAATTAAAATGAGGTTTGGCCACACCTGTTTTAGCTCAGTGATGATTTGGGTTGTAAATTGGGAACCAATGTCATTCCAAAGAATGGCAAGCGCATCAAAGAGAAGGAAGATAACCCTGAGCTGAGAGGCTATTTCTACAGGAGAAGCTGATCAAGAGGCGGATCAACCCTGAGGAAGCCCCTCTATACCATGTCACCATTGAGCCAAAGTTTGACGTAATCAAACATGCACATATCGCCACTGGTCACGAGAGGTGTGATCACACGATTAAAGTGCTAAAATGCAAATACTCAACGTCCCAACAAAACGCTAGAATTTTTCAAGTCTCCTGCATCAACCAGGAGAAGTCAGTGTCACTCCGTGAAGCTGTCATTGCACAGTCTGTTTGTGGTGGTCAAGGCTTTATGAAGTGTAACTGTGGTCAAAAGAAATCTTAGTCAATTCACTTTACAGCATATTCTGTGAAGAGCTTTGAGACGTCGAGAAGACGTGAAAAGTTGCTATATCAAATGCAAGGATTATTATTATTATCAGACTAAAATATGCAAATGCTTCAAAGCAAAGCTAAAACATAATTCCTGGTTGTCCTGGAAGCCTCACTTGTGTTAACAAATGAACATTTGACCCATCAGTGAATGAAATGCTGCATGAATTTTATGGTAAATAAAATATTAATTTTCATAATATGTTAATTATTTGTTGATACTGCCTACAAGTGTCAAGGCAAGGTTATCAATATGATGAAATGATCACTTTTTCACAAAATCCCGACTCCTAATTTCAGCGATTTCTTGGTTTCACAATTTTACTGAAAATTTCAGTGATTTTGTATAATCCTTGGATTCACAACTTTACTGTAACATATATATCAACCAATATAGCACAGGTTAATGCAGCTGATATTTCACTTGAAGATGATATTGCCCCCCATAATATTGTTACTAGATATATTTCATGGCATACGTCACTGGAAATGCAAGATCACCAATGAAGAGGTCAGGGGAAGGTCTCGGTAATTGTCTGCTTGTGCATTAGATAACAACAACTTGCATTTATATAACGCCCCTCATGCAGGGTAATGCCCCAGAGAGTTTGAGATGTATAGGACAGAGGTTATACAGGTTATACATGTCAGAAAACAAAGCAGCAACTCTCCAGGAAAAAACAAAATGAGAACTCAAATAATCAGGGAGGATGAGTCTGGTGTAGGATTTACCAGTTAGGAAGAATTGCATTCAGACAGACATCTGAAGAGAACACAGATTGAAAGATACTTTGTCAAACTCTGCAGCTCCTAATTCCCTAGCCTAATTTCAGCTTCTCATCTCTTGCAATAACCACAAACAGCCTCTTTCCACATCAACCAAAGACGTGAAAAGATTGATACACCAAAAAGCAGAGGAATGATAAGAGACGGGTTGTCAAAAAGAATCACAAACAATCACAAAAAGAATCACAAGCCGGATATGCTAAGCGAGATACTCACAGTCTTTCCAGTTGTTTCAGATCCTGAAAGGCTCCTCGTTCAATTGCAGTGATCTGATTCTCCTCCAGGTGCCTGCAAGAGAGAAAACATACTTGTGATCACTTCAGATTGAGGGAGAGGGGAGTTCCTTGTTTTATCCGATGTTGCCCCCAACAGTGGATTCACTAATCAACCACTTTTTTCAAACCCGATTGATGCTCATCAATAGTTTATGGTAACCCAGTAGGATGGTGGTGGTGGGTGTAGGGGGGGCAGTGCCATTGTCAACATTACTTACAATAGTCTGACCAGTTACCATGTCTACCATCAGTCAATGCTACAATTGGGAATGTCCATGATAGAAATATAATCCCACCGAAATTTTAGGAATAATTAATTTTTAATCATCGCAAAAATTTTTTCATTGACACTCAGAAATCATGGCTATTAATAATCCTTGCATTTTGTATAGTACCATATCACATCGTTAAGACATCTCAAAGCATTTCACAGAATATACTGTAAACTTAATTGGCTGCGTATTTTGTGGGCGACACATGGCAGCCAAATACACACAGCATTGTTCCCCGAACAGAATGTCTCATAGTGCTTCATATGCACTAAAGTGCAGTGACTGTATTTTTTGTAGACAAGTACTGAAGGTTGTGGCCAACTCATAATCACGTAAATATTTGTTTATGTTCCAACAAGAATCGCTGATTAGCAAGCAGGCATGTCCATTGGTACAGGACTTTTCAGTGTGCAACATGGGTTTGGATTTTTGCGACAAATTGTGCTTGCAGGTTTTTTTTTGCTATCAATGAATGAAATATTTTTCAATTTTGGTACCAAGTGTCAGCATTAAGCTGATGTAGTTGGATGGAGAATAAAGCTCCCAGGAATGTGCATTAATGCAAACTATACCAGACATCCTTGTGACCTTTCCAACCTAGACTGAGACTGAGATTTAGTGCCATCAGTGCTGAATTATGGGCATTGCTTGGACGTGAGCTCACATCCAGTAAAAAATGGTGCGGCTGTCCCCAATTCATTTCACACACAACCTTATAGTCAGCAGACAGAAGACTTTCATCCCAGTAGCCTACTTTAGATTTCAGTCCAAGGCCCAGAAGCCAAAGTTAGTGTTCTAAGCAAATGTACCACTTAGTCCCAAAAGGCATCACAGCCAAATCCTATCTGTATAAGATTTTGGATATCCCAACAGCTATATTGAACAAACCTCATAGTAAGCTTTTGATTCTGATCTCACACTAGGTCTCCAATGTGTCATTGCTTTAAGCTATTGCGTGGACATCTTGAATCCATTTGCTTTACACCTTCTCTCCCTGCCTTCAAGAAACCCATCTCTTTGTGTCTTAGGTTAACATCCTCAAACCACCCCTTCCTCCCACCCTTCCCAATGACTTTCATCCTTTGTCAAGTGCTTCAAGTCATCCCATGTGAAAGGTATTGTAGAAAGTGCTCCGGACGCTACCCCACGTGAAGGGAGCATACAAATGCAAGCTGTTGTAGATAGTGAAAGTTGTTGGGTTGGTGTGTGGAGTAAATTATATTGTATTGAAAGGAGTTTGGAACATCCCTTGAGGTGGTCTCACTTAAAAAAAAGTGTTTGAGCACAGAGGACTCTCCATTTACTTCACTGCTGAAAACAATGTTAGTATTACCCTGACCAATGCAGGTTATGTTATCAGTAATCCTCAGTGGTCTTGGTACAAGCCATTGAAATCTTTGAATATTAGCTTGATGGAGAACCTATTTCCATGGCAATTGTGAGTAATTGGCATCATCCACAGGAAGGCTCAAAGGTGTGGTGGAAGTCCACTTTAGACAGCTTTACACAGGATGACATCAGTGGGCGATTACATCATCTGTCAGGAGGTTTGCTAACACAATTTTATGCACTGCAAACCACAAATGGTAGTCACCCCATCAGGAATCCCAATTCCTCATTGGGTCTTTGATCAAAAACAAGCTAGAGTATCTTGAAACTTTCCCTGTGTTAGATCATAAAAATCGTTAAAGAGAATCAGTTGGAGTGCTATATTGCTCAATAGCCCCTAAAAACAGTCAGTTTCATAGTTATTTGTAACAAGTGAATTACACTGAACAAATAATAACAACAAATTTACATGTATATAGTGTGTTTCGCATCAGGAGGAAGTCCTAAGTTGCTTTATACACCAGGGTTGCACCCAAACTGGGGGTGGGAGCAGAGGGGTGTGGGGCAGAAGACCAAAGCCATGGTCAAAGAGGAAGATCTTTAGGCATACCGTGAAGGAGGTGAGGGAAAGGGCTAGTCGTAGGGACTCTGAGTTGGAATTCTAAAGAATGAAGACTGATAAACTGAAACCTGACCACCGATGGTGGCAACAAATCATTGTCTTCTGGGCCACAGGCAAATCATCGCTTCCGAGCAGGCACTACTGTTATCTCAGACCAGTGATGGGGAGGATCTGGAGGGTGAAAAGAACCATCCTCTGCACACAGGACTCCTGTGGTATTTGGAAACTTTTGAAGTTTACAATGCAATAATTTTGGCCACATTTGTTTCTCCACCACAATCATTCTTTCTTCTACTGACGGTGCTCTTGAGAGGACCCAGCTTCTAATATTTCCCCCCGTGCTTGTTGGTAAGTGCAGGCAGGTCAGTCCACACCACTTTATGGGTCTGAAAAAGTTTCAGTGTGATAAGAGGATGCTATTTTCCACTCCACTTCCTCCTTTGAGAGGGTAAAAGTTAGGAGAGAACATGAGGAGTTTGACAAGATACATCACCCACACACTGAAGAAAAGCTCCAATCAAATTACTTTCCATTGTCAACTAACAAAGGCCTGATCTATTTAATGCAGCCAAAACCCTCGTGCATGCATTTGTCATCTCCCACTTGGATTACTCCAACGCACGCCTCACCGGTCTCCCCAGCTCCACCATTCACAAGATCAGCTCATTCAAAATTCTACCACCTGCATACTGACCCCGACCAAACTCCGTACCCACATCTCACCAGCTCTGGCCATGCTCCACTGGCTCCCCATCACTGAATGGATCGACTTCAAGATCCTCACTCTGGTGTTCAAATACATTCAGTCCCTGGCACCTCCCTACCTCTCCGACCTCCTCACTCCCCAATCCACCACCTGGCACCTCCTGCTCGTTCCTCATACCCTCCGCCCCACTATCAGAGGTCGTGCTTTCAGCCACTACCCCCCAAAACTCTGGAACACTCTCCCTCAATCCCTCCACCTTGCCCCCTCTTTCCCCTCTTTCAAGTTCCACCTGATAACTTTCCTCTTTGGTACCTAAGGGCACCTCCCACCGGCTTGGAGCCATGCTCCACCAATGCTAAGCGCTCTGAGACGCTACCCTGCTTGGAGGGCGCTATATAAGTACAAGTTGTTGTTGTAGTAATGTACAGAGCTGGACTCACAGTACACTAGGTCACCCAACCATCCTGACTGTGACACACTCACAGCCATCTCATAGCAATTGCACTGTAGTCTATCTTACTTTGGATAAAGTTACTCTTCTCCTTTAATTAACAAAACTTTGAGGAGTTCTTGATTGTTCTGTTAACAAACTCTTCTTTCTATGTACTTTTCCTGTGTAATGGTCAAATACTAAACAAAGCTTAAAAACGACTGGATAAATTACAGTTGGGAAGACTTTTGCTAACTAATAAACACTCTTGGTTTCATGGCTAGCTATTATTCATGGTTAACGTATACAGTGGGACAATGCTTAATCCAAACAGTTTAGGAAACTCCTGGTCAGAATGAATCAATAACTGCTCATGTATTGTTTCTAATGCTATATTATACTAAACAATATTAAATCAACCCCAGTAACTGACGTACAGTGGGACAGAATAATTATACACCCAGAGCATGTTGGCAGATGCCAGCTGGTTTCAGTAAGTGCTGCTTAGATAAATACTTCCCACTGAAAAGACATCACCCTCCCAGGTCTTGTAGAGCTCATTGTTCCAGAGCTACCTTCTGGCTAGTAATTCAGTGACTGGTCAGTGAGTCATTGACTAGATAGTTTGCAAACAAGCAAACTGAGCGCTTCAGAGAAATTTTTCACACCAGAGTAATTAAGAGATGGAATCCCCTGCAGGGAGCAGAATCCATATTGGCTCTCAAAAGGGAATTAGATAAATACCTAAAAATGAATCAGGAGTACAGGAAGTATGGAGAAAGGGCAGGTAACTGGGACTGAAATGATTGCTCTTAATGGAGACTCACGAATGGCCATCCTCTGTGTTATAAATATCTATGGTTCTAAGGGGGTTGTTCTAAGGGAGGGTCAGGGAAAAGTAACTTTTTTGTGGTCAGTACCTAGAACTGAAAACAGAAATGTATTTTACTTACAGGACTCTGAGATTTTTCAGCCCCACAAAGTCAGTCTTGGTGATCCGTGTGATGTTATTCTTATCCAGATCACTGCAAAGAAAAAGATTTCAAATGAATAAGTGTATTCACCACATCCTCTTAAAGGGCCCAGCACTTTCAGAAGACCTTTCCAGGAAACCTTGATTTGTTCACAGACACACAGCATGACAACTGAAATGTATCACTATGATATTGTGGTGAACATAGCATGCAACTCATATCCCTTCTGGCACAATAAAAGGCTTTGGGGCACTATTTGTTGAAGGCTGAATCTTGTAAATGCTCAAACATATGTTTTTTATGATATAAATTAAGTTGTTGTTGTTTATTTCCTGATATTGACGTTACTAACTTCATTACCTCTGTATTGTGGGAGATCTCCCTTGTGCTTAACATTGTTCAATATAGACAGTTTAAAAAAAGTTAATAAACTTTAATTATAGGCTATATATTACAAAGAAGTACCAATAACTAACTGGTGAGTGCAGGAACATTGGGCTGGGTTCAGGACCTTAAATCACTCAAGCTTCCCTCTTGGTTTATGACATCACCAAAGTTGTGTGTCTGAAGCTGCTCATAACTCGCTGCCAGCCTTGCTTCCCTGCCGCTGGGACACCCCCCATCCCCCCAGGACATGCGGGGCCTGTCTGCAGCGAGGCATCTGGAGCTTATTAACACATGGAGCTTTTGCCTTCAGATTTCATTCACACCTGGCCCCTGCTTGGTGCTTCTCCAAAATCACGTAGCAAGAATTGTGCACTCTGAGCATGGGGACATCTAGCTTGAAATTCCATCTAGTCTTAGTCTATAGGGCTATTTCATCTCAAGATTTAAGATCAGCACAACTGTGGAAAATTCTTGAATACAGGCTTAAATTAAAAGACAGTTCAGTTTTTTTTAAGAACATAGGAAAACCTGGTTTCAAGTTAACAAGGAATTTTCCACAATTCTATGCAAACTTAAAAATCCTTCTTAAAACTTAAGAAGAAATTATTAAAGCTTATTTTTCTATTTTTGCTGAGCTCTTGAATGTTTTTATTTACACGGTGTGATGAATGTCAGTATTGTGGCAACCAGGGGGAGATTCACAGAGTGAGGGAGCTGGATTAATATCAATAAAGATGCAGTCAGCAGTAACAGAAGGAGCTGTCTGGGAGGAGACACTATGCCCGACAGCGTTGTCATCAGTGGAGGTACAGTCAGTAAAACAGGGAGCCCGACAGTGTGAGGGAGCTGGATTAACATCAGCAGAGAGACAATCATATAAAACAGGAAGCTTGACAGTACAATGGAGCTGGATTAACATCGGCAGAGATACAGTCAGTAACACAGGCTGCTGTTATGGATGATGGCAGTGCGAGGGTAATGGATTGACATCAGTAGGTGTACAGTAAAGTAACACAGTACAGGCAGGGAAGTGAGAGAGAACTAAATTAACAGGAATAAACTGATATTTTATACTGGTCAGATGTGCTGGCGTCCTTATCCTAGTAATGCAACTCAATGTTTCAAAATGGAAAATCTACAACAAAACAATTTAGGTGCTCATTTCTCACTATATTTAATTAAGCATAATAATTATTTTAATTATGTTTCAAAGAGATGGTTAGATATCCCCCTTTGGAAAAAAATGCACAAATACACAGTCAATTCACTTTACAGTGTATCCTGTGAAGCACTTCAAGATCATTGACATGATACGGTGCGATATCAAATGCAAGGATTATTACATTATTATATAAGACTGAAATAGTTCTCTCCCTTAGATGAAGCAGTCGGGATATGGCAATTGGGATGTGGAGTTTGCCAAGCTGTGGAGGATGGGTGCAGTGAGCCTCTGTAGATTGGCTCTGGGGGCCTGTGCCTGAGCAGCTCCTGACCCCAAGAGTGCTTCAACAGATGTGAGCACAACGCTTTGAAACTTTACCCACACAGAGTGGAACGTTTGAAATCCAACATTCCCGATTAACCGCAGTGATCATTGTAATCACATGAATCACTCAATCCCTGTGCACAGCTTCCGTATAGTCAACCCTCTTGGGTAAACACATTGGACTTAATAAATGATCTTGTGAAATGTTCGTTTAGTGAATACTGTCATAATCTTCCGGTGAACAGGGTGTCAATCACCAATACAATACATGTGAGGATTTACTTTCATCACTCAAGTCGGGGTAAAATAATAAATAACATTTGATTTGATATATATAAAATATAATTATTCTTGTATCTAATACAGTGCCTTTACAGAGTTTAATAATAATAATCCTTGTATTTGATATAGCGCCTTAGCATGTCATTGAGATGTTTCAAAGCGTTTCACAGAATATACCGTGAAGTAAATTAACTATATTCATGGAGTCCTGTAGCTCAGTGGTTAGAGCAACCGCCTCGAAACCGAGGGACCTCGGTTTGATTTCTGGCAGGGCGAAATGTTGGGCAAGTTTCCTTACTCTCCATTCATTTCTGTTCACCTAGTAGGAACCCGGTTGTTAGTCGATGGGTGGATCACTCTTCCGGCAGTAATAACTCCTTCAAAAAATAATAATAATAAATTAGTCACTTCAATTCATGATAGTTTGTGGGACACTGCTGTGCATAATTGGCTGCCGTGTTTCGCCAACAAAATATACAGTCAATTCACTTTACAGTATATTCTGTGAAGTGCTTTGAGACGTCTCAAAGGCGTGATAAAGAACTATATCAAATGCAAGGATTATTTATTATTATTTTGCAAGGATATCAAATGCATGGATTACTGTAAAGTGAATTAACTGTATATTTTATGAGCGAAACACAGCAGCCAATTGTGCACAGCAGTGCCCTACAAACAGTCATGGATTGAGTGCCCCAGTCTTTTTTGGAAGGTTTATTAACCCCGGAAAGCAATCCACCAATCAACTAATAATCGAGTTCCTTCTTATTGCCAAGTAAACAGACATGTAGAATAAGGAAATGTGCCTAAGGTTTTGCCCTGCCCAGGAATTGAATTCAGGTCCTCTCGCTTGTGAGGCGAGTGCTCTAACCAATACGCTACATGACTCCATTTCTGGTTAGAGCACTGACTGTATTTGTAAGTGAAAAATTCACTTATACAAATAGCCAAGCAAGGTTCCAAGGTCAGTGAATCCCTTCAAGGGATATGGAAGTTTCAGTCCTCATCTCCAGTGTCATTACTACAGGAGTCTGTTAACTCCAACTCTTTGTGACATCCTCCCAATGTGAAAGGTGCTATACAAATGTAATTTTGTGTTGTATTAATGTTTCAAATGAGAACGACAGCCCTGACCAAGCCTCAGAAACAGATATCAGTCTGATGAGAAAAGGCAGCAGCTCAGCAGCACATGATGAAGATATGATCCAATGTCAACATATCAAACACTCTCCTGGATATTGCCAACCATCCATTACAAGCCCACAATAAATGTAATGTGGGCAAATGCTTGCATAATGTCGTACTAAATCTTATATTTGATTCTTCATCTGCGATAAGGTCGCTGATGTCAGCTAGAGTATCAGTGCTTCATTTGCCCTTACCCACAACCCATGCTAGGATCTTGAAAAGTAACGAGTCAGGGTTTCTGCTCCACAGGGTCAATGAACAAGTTGATATAGGCTAAGGACAGAATGGGATCCAGGTGTCCTCTTTGCTGCATAATGCTCCAATATTCCCTGACGAGGCTCACATGTGCCAACGTGTGTGAGGGAAACTGACACTTAAGGAACTACACCCAGCATGAATCATAACCAAAGATGAGAAAAAGGAAGGAATATTCCAATCCTGCAACAAGCCAAGAGTAGGAAGTACCTGGAATTATCGTTCAAACGTTAACTTTGCTGAATTGTTGTATCATTGCAATTGAAAAGACAATAGGAAGTATTAATTACAGTTATAGTTATTCATTTATATCATTCTTACCCTATAGAGTATTTCAGTTTTTTTGTGAGAAGAACCCCACCCTGTTTCAATAGAACATAACAATAATCATAATTTTAGTGCCTAACCCACAAACACATTTGGGTGCCAACTCCTTTGAAATAATGCCTCCCTTTGTTGTGGAGATAATCATGATTTAAAAACACCGTTTGTGACTTTCTTCCCCGCCCAAAGAAAGACTCAACGTGGGAGCAGATTTGTACTCAGTTGTGGCTGGTCTTCATAGCTCAACAATCTAACTTCTCTGAACTGTTTGAAAGAGCAGAGCCAAAATGTTGCTAGTTACCAACTCAGCGCAAATCTGCTCCCAAGTTTTGTACCTTCCAACCGATCTAGAATAAAAGGTGAGAGGTACCGAACAACATATTTTTCCAGTCACAAAGATAGTGTTGCCATTCGATTGATATCTGAATGTATTAAATATAGTGCTGGATATTAAGGTTTTAGTGCAAAATAAGACACAAGGTTTAAACACCTGTTAATAGGGGGCTCTGCTCTCTGCAACACACCATCAATCCTTTCCCGTATTATTTTAAAGTTGCATTTCAATATTCTTTTTCCCTGATGAGAACAGATTAAGCTCTACTGTCTCTCTTCAACATTCGAAGACCATTGTGATTCTGTGATAGGGGGTATGCAGACAGCCAAGTGTAACAGGCAAGATGGCTGTCATTCTGACTGGATAGAATTACTGCATTCTTCATTTTACATTTCAAACAGGTGCTTCCAATTCCTAGTCAAAGCCAACGCAACACACCTGTCAATCATTGCTACATCACAACTACCGTGAAAATTGCCATGAAGAAATGTCTGTGTTAATCAACTTCATTGGAAACAGCCCCATTATCACTTGAAAATTGCCACCACATCATAGAGGGGAAGTAACAACCTGACCATAAATGCAATATCCTTGAAATTAAAAAAATTATACCAATATGAAAAAAGACAATTATCAAAAACAGAAGCTGAAGCAAATGTAAAGAAATGTCAGGTATAAAATCCTAATGGAATCAGGTGGCCAGCGCATATTTCTCACCATCGTGTAGATTTAACATTATCCTTGCCTCTCCTTTTCCAAGCAACACAGTTTCAGCTTGGCTCAGTGGTAGAACAC